AAATAAACGTATAAAACTCCTAACAAGAAGTGTATGTATAGTTTTAAAAGATCGCTGCCATTACAAGCAGACAGGCAGCAAAAAGTTCTGGCTTAAAAAATTCGAAATTTTATTATAATAGAGTAAGCGTACCAGCATCCACACTTTCCGAGAATGGTTTTTCCATTTGATAGCAAAACAATTACCGTATCTTTCTCAAAAATATACCTACTTCTATTACTCAAAAATATATATTTTGGCGAGGTTAAAATTCACTAGCGTAAAGACTATTATGCTTTTATATATTTTTTTAATTATTTATATGAAGTGGTGGTCAAACTCTTTTATAATTATTATTATAATTCAAAATCTTTAATGGAATAATATGAATTCAGCTACCACTTTAAAACAGAAAAGAAAATCTTCCGCAAAAACCTGAAGAGAATGAATCTATGAAATTATTAATTTTTCTTAGCATATTCTTTTCAGTTTACTAGGGAAAGTGAAAGCTTATAATAATTTTGCTTTGTATATGAATAATTTGAAATGTAAGCAGTATTGGTAGTCATGACTGAGTATATAAAGAGATAATAAATAAACAAAAATGAATTGAGTTTCTGTCAGTTTTTGCATTTTTAATCGCCCTTTTTAATCTTGAGAGCTTTATCGAAAATGTGAGAAAAACTGCATTTATGACCCGATCTGATCCTCCTATATTCCAGTGGCTCCAGTTATGCCCCGAGGGTAACAGAAATAAATGTATTTGTTGTACTCTGTATTTATTTATATATACTTTTAGATTTCATCGGAATTTCCTGATTTTATCTATCACACTAGCTTTAAAAAAGTACTTATTTTACATAGATAAAAGTTGGATTTTGGGATTATTACAAAGGCAGCTTATAAACCCTTTTCAAGTTCAAGAATATACAACACAAATTCGGAAAGGACGATACTCAGATACATCCAGGTTTGAGCAGAATTTGAACCCACTACCTCCGTGCCGTTTTTTAATAATGAAAAAAGTATGAAAAATATGTTCAGTAAAAATTTTGCGTCAAAAGGTTAAAACAACTTCAGGATAAAGTAACACATAATGGAGAGGAAAAAGGTCCCTACGTGGACTTCGAGGAACCATATGACTATGTGTTTCGTCCTAAAAATTTCAGTACAAAATTTTAGTATTGTACCATGTAATAAATTTAACCGATAAACGAGTATTTTGTCTGAAAACTCTCCCTTCATTCATTATTCAAAACGAAAAACTTTTTCATCATTGATTGATTTCTTGTTCAAAAAAAAATAATTTTTTCCTTCAAGAAGTAAAAAAAAAAAAAATATATATATATTTATATATATATAAAAATTAATAACTTTGAAAATAACGCTTGTTGCTGAGTGATGATAGAAAATAGTATGATAGTATGTAAATGTTTGAAAAAGCGAAATAATCCTAATCAAAATGCATAGCTTCCATTAGTACTGTTCTCAGAAACTTTTTACTAAGTGGCTAATAATACTTAAGGTATTATGAATCATGTAAAATTATATTACTTTACTTAAACACCTATAGGCGTTATTATCCCATGTTTGTGTAACACCTAAGATGTAACTTTCAAACCTTGCACTGTGTATTTATTCAATGGTTGAAAAAACGGACGTAACCTCAACAAGTATACCAGATTAAACTTACTATTTGCACTCTTATCATATAATCCCAGAAAACCATTCATAAAGTTTTCAATAGACATTAAGATATAAGCTTTCCAAAATACTAAAATAATACTAATATCAATATTTGGATTTGAAAACTTTTTATATTTTGAAGCTAAATTGTTGGCTAAACGAATAAAACATCGATTTAATTTATTCACATTAAGCAACTTTTTTCATAAAGGAGCTTTTTTTTTGTTGTAAAATGTGACGGATAAGCTTTTACAATATCCATAGCTGTTTTCCAAGAGTTTTGAAACAACAGTTTTAACCAATTGTTATAGCACTTTTTATTACCCGCAGAGAAGTAGTTTAAAATAGTAAGAAATTATTTTACTCCTCACAAATACCAACCTATTCTCCTTTCCATTTTACTTTCCGATTTTTTGTTTCTGAAACATTTAACTTCTTTCTAGCAGAGGAACCAATTTAGGCACTACCATTAAATGCGAAAACTAAAAACTATTGACAAGGAATTTCACTTTAATGTAATAAAAATATTATTGCCACTCCTATATTATTTGAATTCGTAATATTTCTGGTAACTATGAACATTTTAAGCTAGGTATGTTTTCTCTCCTTTTAGAAATGCCACAAGAGCCTAAAAGTGTCAAAAGTTTAGTTTAACAAAAAGCAAAAATTTACTAAAAAAGAGTAAATATTAGTCACTTTTATTAGCATATTTCCTTCGGTTTACTATTGAAGATGATTGCAAAGGAATTTTTAGGTTTAAATGTTATTTATGTTAGGGTGATAGTTACGATTGAACAAATAAATAAAAAATAAATTGAGTTTTTACAACTTCTTACATTTTTATATGTGTGTGGAATTCCCGTACCACATTAAAAAATTTTACGCGCCGTAGGGACTTAGAAATATTTTAGTCTCTCATATACAGAGGTAGGACAAAAATATAGAATGACTTATATAATAAATCTATGTAAACAATCTTTCTTTTAGATGTAAATGTTTTAGAAATTTTTCATGACAAAATTGTTGGATAGATTTTAAAAGATCATGGTTAAAGCTTTTATAAACTAGTCCTTTTCCCTAGTTTTGCGTCAAGTAAAAGCCTGAAAGCTTCTTTCTCTTTTCAATACCACTATAAATAAAAGAACATTTCAATATAAATACTGCCATCCTACATAATGATTTCAGAATTGCTGGTATTCAAACTAGAAAAAAGAAAGACTTGGTCGATCTAAATTTCACAAGGGTAAAAATGACACAATTTCTAAGCTCATGATCTTTCAACAATTTGGAATGAAACAAAACATCTGCTGTAAAAAGAAATATTGTTCACCTTGAGATAGTGTGTCCATATTTTTGTCCAACACCTGTGTATGTCTTAAAAGCGTTTGCACAATTATAGGCAGATTAGAATAGAGCAGATATTCTTTTTTTAAATAAATAATCCAGCTTCTACTTAATTAAAAACTTCATTCGCTTCAAAAACATGCAAACTAGAAATAACAGTCAACATGTTCAAGCATTCAAAAATAGGCGCTCATTTTTAAGACTTGCTAGACTAGAATGATAAAAAACAAAGTGATTTAAAATATAAAACGTAAAGTTACCAACGAAAAATATGAATACAATATGAAAATTCTGGCTTTTTTTCGTGGGCAACTTGAATTTTTATATTTCAAAACACTCATTTACGTTTGGCAAGTCCTGAAAATGGGTGCTTGTTTTTGATCGTTTAAAACCTGTCAGCTGCTATTTCCAATTCGTATATTTTTGAAGCAAATTAAGTTATTAATCAAGTAATATCTTTAAGCTTCCGTTTCTTGGGATTATTATTTAATCCAGTTACTGTAAGAGGCAAGCATTCACGTTAGTTAATGCGCATGCATTCTTTATGCCACGTGAATGCTATTTTTAAAACCTCTAACGACTTGTCTAACAATGAAATTGACGATTATTGCAAAGCACGAATAATTATTATTGTTCTTAAATCTTTGCTCAAAAATAAAGCAAAAACTATAATTATGTTCTGAGCTTCTTTCAAAATATGTATTTAATTGCTTTCGTTAGTTGATGGCAATTCTAAGTTCGAAAGTCATTGAAAAAACTCACCGCTGAAGAAAGTAAAGTTTTCTGGTATCTTAATTTAGTTCAAACTATATTGTCACGTGGGGATTAGCTGTGTTGAAAATTTTCGAGTGCTTTTAATGATAATCCATTTAACCATATCTGTTTTAATTATATTTACGCATTGTGTTATGTAAATAATGCGCCAAATAAGAAGGTTTGTATCTCCGAAAGAGAAAAGGAATTTTTCCCGAGTGGTGCGAATTGGAAACTGCAAATAATTCAGAGCCATTGTAGAAACATCCCAACGGTAATTATCGTTTGCTAGAAGTATGGAAAAGGGCTTTTCCCTAATCTACTACCCCTGCTTCTCCTTTTCATTATGCTTCCTCATTTCTATGCGTCACTTGATGAGAAGTCTTTCTTTGTTCCGAGATCTTGCATTTCCGGAATATCTTTTAACGGAATTTTCCGTCCAAGGAAAATATACCCCCTTCCACATTGATATCCACACAACATGGAACGGAAATTCGGACAAGTTTCGAATAGAAACGGTTAATTATGATGATGGAGTCTGCTTATTGTTTGGTAAACCGACTAAGTCCAGGTAAACGGGAAGACAATGGGAATAGTTCGGAGCATCCCCCAATGGAACTTCAGCGCCATCCTCCTATAAAATCAGAAACCATCATCAAATACATTTTGAGTGAATCCTGGTAAAACAAGTCTTTACCTAACAAAAACGGTAAAGGTGAAATGAATAATGATCTTCTACAGATGAAAATAATAAGTTTGTCGCGTTTGCTTCTACATGTGGGAGGCCTTATTCATTTTAATTCGAATCTTGCTAGTCATTAGTACCATTTTGTTATTAAGGGGACTAAGTGGGGTGAGTTGGTGAGGGAACTCGTTACGTTTTCTTTTGTGTTTGGACTCAGTCAATCAATCGAAGAATAAGTATTCTTTTTCCCCAGCATTTTGCTGAGTTTTCCAGTTGTGAGCCCGGAAGCAATAATTCGTATGAGAAAATTAGTGCCTACGCCTGCAATAGTTTTCGTTGAGACCGACCCTACGCCCCCAGTTTTCCTTCATTCTGCAAAACCACCACCAAACATGATTGTTAATTAGTAGAGGTGGAAAATTCCGCTCCCAATAAATCCCCTTTTTTCATTTATATATCGGCAGTAATTAGCAAACAATGGACTGAGTTATCGGAAAATTTTGAAACTCATCTCCCCTTCAACGTTTTAACAAAATACTCTCATTCGTTTCAGGTCCTTTATAGAACCTTAGAAGAATTTTGGTGATATCTGAGTTTCTTCTCCAGTTTTGTTTCAGATCCAAAAGAAAAGGCATCTACCAAGTAAGATGTATTGTTTATGAAAACTTTTCTAATCAGCGTTTTTTTTTTTTTTCCTTAAATAAATTTTTTTAACTTCCATAAATTTTCAAGCATAATAGCAATTTAAAAGAAAAGATGCGACGGCATGGTCGAAGGAAAAGCGAGATTTATTGTTTGTTTTGCAACATTAGGAACAGTTATGGTCTATTTGTTTTTCTTTTGCTAAAATGTTATTACCTCGAATAAATGACGAAGAAACGAAATTTCCACTGAAAAACCGCGGCACTCTATTAGCAATTGGTTTCGTAAATGTTATAAAAATCATCATTTAAAAGTACGACTTGGTGGATTCTTGCAAATTATCGAGTTCTGTTAGTCTAGAATCTGGATGTACCGTTATTTCTTCCACTGGCCACAAATTATTTCTGATAAATGGAAAATTCAAAACTACCATATATATAGTAGCCCGTTTATGTATTGCAAAAAGACAGTTACTTTTTTCAAAATAAAAAAAAGTTGTATCTTAAGTAATTAATTACTTGGATTAATATTGCATAAAAAAGATAGCTTTATCTACCATATTATATAACTCATACTATATAACTCATTTATAATTGAAACTTCAGTAGGGCGCATTACTTTTTTTAAAGCAGTAGGTGATGGAAAGTAACATCCACGTATAAACAAATTTGTGCTACCACTTTTTTCGGATAGTATCATACGCAGGCAACTTTTGGGCATAAATGGTTTAATAAGATAGTCTCTAACATATAGATGTTCTCAATATTTTCAAAAACGGTAGAGAACTACAAACTGAAATTAGCAGATTTTCGGTTAATTTTGCCAACTTTTTAAAAAGCTCAACACGGCTTATCTGTAACAAAGTAGCATATCACATAAGTCTTAAAACAGTGGCGTTCATACATTAAGAGACTACTACTCAAAAAATATTAATCCGCTGTCCTGAACAACTCTGATAAACTGAAATGATCCAATTTCAAATTTTGAAACAATGCAAATTATCCCCTTAATTTAAGCACACTTTTTGAACTTAATTTAAGCACATATACTACCACTTTTTTCACAAAGGCACTAAAAAGGCAAATAAAAAGGCAAATAAAAGTGTTCTGTCTATAAAAAGGTTTCTAAAATGCCGCTTTAGAAAAAATACTTTACGCCCTACTATTAGAAAAAATACTTTACGAAAATTTTAAATTTCAGGAAGTATGCGTTTGATCGTCAATGCCCCATGCTTTTGTAAAATAATAAATCATAAAATAACGAATAATAGAAACTAATAATTCAGTAATTTTATTAGCAATTATCAGGCAAAACATTCGCATCAGCATTCCCAACTTTTTCCGTTTTATCAAAGGATTTTTCCTGAAAGGTAGTAAATAATAATTGGTAGTGAATTAACAGCTTTACCATTCAATATATAACAAATTTGATTCACAATGATTTTGACAGCCATTAATTTTGACCACAACACAATAAAGAGACAAAAAAAGAATAAAAGAAAAAGACAGATTAAGGAAGAAAATATAGAAAAATAATAAGTTTTATTTACTGCGCAAGAACTGCAAGTGCAGTTTTGCAAGATGCTGATAATTTATTTGCAATGATATACAATTGACTCAATGATATCCAATTAAAAATTATTGAGTTAATTGTATATTATTATAAATAAATTTACTAAAAAATTTACTTCTTAATTTATATAATTTTTACTATGTGCAAATCCATTTCGGGCAAATCCGTGGCTAAAATTATGTGCAAAACAGGCAATTCATGTTTCTTTCACTTTTCGATTTCATTTTTTTCTTATCGAAATGCTAATTTTCTAAAATTAATAATTGTCAACTTCTTTGAATTATTCAGTATAATATTACTTTGCGCACATCCATTTTCGGACCCATCCTTGGTAACTAACAAATCAAACGCACTTCAGTAATGCAGTAAGAACGCACTTTAATTCGAAACACCTCTATTTGCGCTTTTACCTCAATTTGCGCTTTTGGTTTCATATTTTGCAATCTGGCAATCTTGTTACGAAAATATTTTAAATCATTCTCGAAAAATTTCCCGTTCATGTAAGTTCATTTGAATTCGCTACTCGCTTTATAGATTTCGTTTCATGTTTTATTCGTTTTTTCTTTATAGTCGGTTTTTCTTCACATTTTATTTTTTATTTTCTGTTTCTACATAATATTTTTACTTAATGCGTTCTACTTTCTTTGTTGTAAATTTTTTTTTGAGTGCTCCTCACACTCTTATATTGATATATTTTGCTTTTGCTATGTTGATACAATATTGGAAAGCTCTCCTTTTTACGGATACAATTGGGTGAGCTGATGAAAAGATTATATCTTTTATTTTTCGGATTTGTATAAATTTTTTCCCCTTTTTCGGATTTTTTTTCTTCAGGTTTCTTATTATTTTTATTTTTATTATTATTTTTCTTCCCCCATCCCCCTTTTTTTTTTCATTGTTCTGTAATTTTTTCCACATTTTCTCTACATTTTGAACTTATTTTATGAGTTCTATTTACTTTCAGCTTATGCGCAGCAAATAAAACTTATTGTTTCTCTTATACTGTATTTCTTATACTGTATCTGTTATGTTTTAATTAATGATACGTGAAACAATTTAAGATTAGCTTAGAGAATAAAATTGAAATATTAAAATAGGAATATTGTTATTACTAAGAATCCTCAACAACCATACGGCATCTATTCTTTACAGCTTAGAATGCTCAAACAGTTCAACTTTACTGACTTCTTCAGTGATATTTAGAGAATAGGCTTTTTCCCTTCAATGTTTTACATCAATTCTAATTTACATTGTCTATTTTCGATTTACGAAATCAATCCAATAAGTTTTTCTGTTTACCTTGAGTTGAATTTCATGCAGAGACGTAGTTTCAGAAAATAATTTTCCTAGTGGTAGCATGTTTAATAGATTTATTCAACAAAAGAAAAACTGTTTTGGTTAAACTACGCGTTTGTCTCTTTACTTTCTCTACCATCATTTGCTGTTTAGTCACTGATGAAGATTCTTCTTTACAGAAATGAAACTCGTTCATTTATGAACTTTCTTTTCTATTATATTCTCGTTGATTTATTTTAATAAATTGGAATTTCAAGAATTATGTCCACCACTAAACGCAAGTAATTTAAAGAGATATATTTGAGGTTATATAAAAAAAATTTTTTAGTTCCAGTAATTTTTTTAATGAAGTTTTAATTTCCAGAAAACTGCCACAGCATCAAATAGTTGGAGTCTGTTACTTCTTTCTGTTTTTAGAGGTGGATTTAAAATAATAGTTAGAAAATAAACATTGAACTTCGCGAAAAAATACATAACATCTTATTTACAGGTCTCTGATTCAAGATTTCTGGAATTCCATTGGAAATGAGTCACGCCCATGTTCTTTAGTGATATTTACATGCCTGCCAACTTTTAATCCCTTAAAGTATAATTTTTCCCAGTGGTAACAAAATGGAATTAAATTTTCAATTGTAAGCAAAGAAATATGTTGTATTTGAAAAATCTTTAGCTGACGACCATGAATGTAATGCATATTAATATATATGCTAAATTTTTTTAAGAATACTGGTGATCGAAATCATTTTAAATTTAAGTTCATAAAATAAAAAATAGTATATATTTGCTACCACTTTAAATATAAAAATAACATTTTATGCCAAATGCGTAAAAGTTGGCAGGTATGTATTTAGATAACAGGTCTTTCAAAGTTTTAGTCAAAATTTGACTGGTGCTTTACAGGTAAATCACAGTGCCGTGTTTGAATTCTATTTCACATTATTTATTTTTGCTAACAAAATCAACCAAAGCAAGATTTTTCTATTTATCTTACACTAATTTTCAGTCATTGCATTGATGTCATTTCATGACATTAGACTCTAACTATGTATAAGGTTTCTCCGTAGTTTCAGAAAATATTTTTCTTAGTCGTAGTAAGGGTAATATAATTTTAGCTTAATAAATTAGAATGAAAAGAATTGTGTACCCAACTAAACACAAGTAATTCAAAGAAATACTTATACGGCTGTGCAAAAAAATGTTAAAGTTCTTAATATTTTATTTTATTTATATATATTTTAAAAATCTGCTAAAAAAATTCCACTTTAGGTCCAAAGCAAGACTTTTCTATTTATCTAGTGCTGAATCTCATACAGAGACACTAAATATAACGGACTCTCTGTAGTTTAAGAAATTCCAAATTTAGAGGAAGAATTCTCAAGAATATATTTTTCTTCTAATATATTTTCTTAAAGTAATTTTTGTTTCAGCAAATTCGCAACAGCGTCGAATAGTTGTTTTTGTGAAGGTGTAACCTGTTACTTCATTTTTGTTTTTATAGATTGAAAACAATAGTCTGAAAATATAAATTGGACGTTGTGAAAATTTATATGCCTTCCCATTTATAGGTCTCTCACTTAAGCGGTTCTCATTTCTGGAATCCCATTGAGAATGACTCACGCCCCTGGTTCTTCATTGATGTTTAGAGAATAGGCCTTTTCCATTCAATTTATATATATNATATATATATATATATATATATATATATATATAAATTCTTCCCCGTTTCTTCCAATATTACCCACATTGAGAAGAAAAAGAGGGGAAAAGAAGGCGTAGAAGGGGAAAATTTTTCATGCATCAGTTGCATGGAGTTTTAAGGGGGAGCGAACCCTGTCATTGCCAAAGGCGGTCCTATAGACTAAGAGAAAAAGAAAGGGAGGCAAGCAGGGGAAAAAAAAACCCTATTTGAATGAATTTTGCATTTCTTTCTTATCATACAAATACATATATATATCTATAGATATTTCTTCCATCAATGTTCTATTCGAAAAAGGGATGGACGGTAAGAAGGGGTGGAAAAAGAAAGCGAAGGTGGGAGGAAGTGAACTGCTAAAGTCTGGGGAAAGCCCCGGTAGCAAACCCGTTTGCCAGTGGGGCTGTTAGATATTGGTTTTTATTTCCGATTTCAAATACTAACAAGAAAAAGCTTCGGCCAGTTTTCTTATTTTTTTCTTCCTTCGAACTGCGTAGGGAAGGAAGGAATATTAAAGAAAAAAAAAGGAGGGGAAGGAGTAAAATAAAGGATATTCTAAAAGAAAAGAATAAGAAAGACGCAGAAATTCTGAGAATGAATAAGGCGAAGGAAGAGGAAGAAAAAAAAGGGAGCGAACGTTTTCGAGGAAATGAAATGGTCGAAGGCAAAATAGGAAACAAATGAAAAGAAAAAAGAATGTGCATAAAGGGGGTTACAAACGTTCTGCTTACTTGCTGATCGCTCTGCTATGCGAAAAGAATAGACTACAAAAAGTACGCGCAAAAATTCAGCTACTCAATGCTTATCTTGTAAGATCTTGCATTTGAAAAAATTATAAAAAAATCTATCTGAATAAAGAATTCTTATTTTTATACTAAAAATCATCGAACCAAATCTAAATATGACAGTTACAAATGTAGTTCACTCAAACAGTTTATTTCATTTACCTTTAAATTTTACAAAATCACAAGATAAATGATTTTATTCACCAAAATCTATAAATATAAATGGAGACAACAAATTATTTCAGTTTAGTTTTTTTTTTACTATATACATACAGAGGAAGAATTTCATCTTTTTTTTCAAGTTGACATCCTCTTTCATTCCTATTAATAACGTTAAATTATGCTAGAATGCATTTTATATAGGATTTAAATAGTTAATATTAAATTCTGCAGTATTTAATTCCGTATTAAAAGTAGTAGCAAAAATGATGTCAAAAGATGATGAAACTTTTGCCACCAACATTTTACGATTACAAAAAAAAAAAAAACATGCAAATTCTACTAATTCCGATATTTGGACATGAAAGTGGTAGCTGAAGCAAGAAACTTTTCAAAATATTATTGAGATGTTTTGTGAGAAGTGAAGCCTGGGTTGGCGGAGTCAAAGAAAATTTTGCGGAAATCAGCGTTGAAAGAATTTCCGACTCCAGTTAGTTAAATATCATATTAAAATATGTATATTACTTGAATGAAATTATCACAAACTCTTATTTAAGTCCCCGTGCCGTCAGGCTAACCGTGGGAGGTTCTCGTGGTCTTCCTCTCCATGTTACGCAAATGCGGGTTAGCTGCATCAAAAAGTCCTCCACGAAGGCAAATTTCTCCCAATGCTCGATCCAGGAGTTCCCTTGCCTTCTGGATTATGTTCAAAATTATAAGACTATGGAGTTGAACATTAGTAGTCGTAAACCAATCAAATTGGGTCGGCTGTTCAACGACGGTAATAAAATTATAAAATATTAAACTCTTATTTAAGAGCCGTGTTGGCGCTTGCCTTCCAATTAAGTGAACTGTGTTCAAAGCCTAGTGATGGTTGGTCGATACGAATTATGCACCCGATTCAAACTGTCCACAGTGCGGAAGGAAAATACCCTCAGTGGAAGACGGATCATGGGTTAGAATCCCCTTGTCCAATCTAAGAGTGGGAGATTTTCGTGGGTTTCCTCTCCGGGTAACGCAAAAGTGGGTGAGTTAGATCAAAATGTCCTCTCCGATGGCAAATTTCTCCCAATTCTTGATTCAGGAGTTCCCTTGTCTTCTTTATTGGAATCAAGATTCCAAGGCTACTGAGTTGAAAATTGGTGTTCGTAAACTCAGAATTGAGTCAACTGTTCAACCCTGGCTATAAAATAAAATAGAAAAACTCTTATTTAAACATTTTTCAGCCTAAGTTTTAACGAACTATTGAAACAGAAAATAACTGAAACGATGGAAAATTTCCAGTAAGTTTTTAATTAGTCATCGTTTAATTTATGAATTACCAAACCAAATTTGTTTAACCTAGTTATTAAGTTAATTTAAAGAATTCCACGAATGAATTTGTTGTAACAGTTTCCTATTTCATGAATATTACAATTCTGTTAACATAAGACTCTATACAATTCTGTTGTTATAAGACATTTTTGTAAGTGCAAGTGTGTTTGTGATGCGTTTTTCTTATAATTGTTTTGTATATTTTTATAATTTGTACAAATATAATTCTTAAAATTTATGTCTTCAACTGTTATATTATAATACGAAATGTAATTTTAGCCCTTTCATTCTAATCAAGCACAATTTTAGTTTATAATTTAAAGATAACAGTTACACAAAAATATTAACCATTTGCACTCCGAGTACTATTAAATGCTGTTTGATTTAATATCGGTAATGCAACATTTAAAATACACAATATACTATTCTCATAAAAATTTTAAATTCTTAAAATAATGTGTTTACTAATTATTAAGATATAAAATTTCTTAATTTTAAAGTGGTGGGGACATCCGAGTGCAAAGGGTTAATAGTTGCTGGGATGTGGCGGAAATTTTATTCAGTTTAGGTCGGATTTGGAATTGGAGTTAAGCTCTTTGGAAGGTCATCGGAGTTCTCTCTTCAATGCAATCAAGTTTACATTAACCGAAATATAATAAACAAGTGAAAAACTAACCAACTTTTTCATAGTTTAAAAATTTGTCATCGAATGGTTGATAGGAAAAAATAAGTAAAATGAAAATTCGAACATTTGCAAAATTCAGACAAGATGCTTCAAGAAAGTTTTTATTCAAGAAAGTATTATTGATAAACAGTGCGCAAAATAATCACACTGAATAACTTTTGATCTAATGATCGGATTTTCACGTTCTAGATCTCAACCTAATGACTCAAGGGGGTGACCTCAAATATGCTAATTAATAAGTGCAGACGATATTTGAATTACGAAAGCAGACACAAAAACGTACTTTCTCTGAATAAACATACCCTTTTTTACCCTTTACATGGGATGAAAAAAGAACTTTTTAAAATTCAATTACTTTTATATAATAAATACTTTTAAAAATACTTTTGAAATTTGATTTCTCAGGAATTTTTCGACCGATTTCATTCAAACTTCATATTTTGACATTTAAATTTGCAGTTTTTGAAATTATGTAAAAAATTGTGTTTTCACAATTCAAACTTTTATCAACGATTATTAAATGAAATTTTAAAAAAATAAATTTACTGAAAATCATTATTTAGGTGAAATTATCTCTGGACAAACAAATTTTGTAATTATATGCAATTTTTTTTTTATTTCCTTAAAAAGTTCTCGAGATATGGTGAAATACACGTAAAGTTAACATTTAGGGGTCCAAATTTTCGGCTATCCCCTATATTTGGGGTGTCCGAATGCGTGGAAAGAAAGGTACGTTTATCCAGAGAAAGTACCTTTTTGGGTCTGATTTCGTAACTTAAAATTCTGTCTATACTAATTAATTCTCATATATTTGAGGTTTCCTCCTTGAAACATTGAGTCCCGGAACGTAAAGGACCGATATTTAGATCAAAAGTTATTCAGGGTGAACCGTTTAATATTTTGCGTACTGTACAGATAAGGTGAGGAACTTCGTACTTACTAGTTCGACATTAATTACATACTTCTTGACGGTATTTTTTTTTGACAAAAGGATGCATACTTATCTAATGAATAACCAATATTCTTAAATAATTACCAAAAAAGATTTTAAGTTACTGCAATTTACCTTTATGGAAAATGTAACCAGCACAAAGCATTGCATTCAGCCGGTTAACATACACAAATTTTCTCAAAAAAATCTTCGCCCTTTTATGAAATAAAATTGCAGGATAGACTAATACAGCGGTTCACTATTTTGTTCCACTAATATAGTCTGAATAGTCCCCCGCCCCGCGGGATGTGCATTAGCAATACTGAACAAATTAATGAAAGAAAGATAACTAATTGTTTTGAAAATATTTAATGTGAAGAGTGAAATTTTTCATCGTTTTATTCATAATAATCTTTCATTTTAAGCTAAGTTTTGAAAGATTTAAATGAAGTTTTTAATTTAATTATAAATATTAGAGAATAACTTTAAATGATGTTAGAAAAGGGTTATAAGCCAACTTGCTCAGAAGGCTGATTAATATTTTCGGTTTAGTAAATTCGATTTAAAGGGTTTTTATTCACCATTACTTCAATTTAAAGACTTAAATGATACACCAGTTTGTTAGAGTCATGTCGATCCTCCTAACACGTTGGCAGCTGCAAATTCAAGTTTTCCACCTTTTTTCTTTTCGTTTTCTTTTCTTTTCTTTTTTTTTTTAATATTTAGTCGAATCTTGAGCAGTTAGCATCTCTGATAAGGGAAGCACTTTTATTTATCGCTAAATTTAGCTCTTTTATTTTGAATTGAAAAGAACTATGAGGAATGCAAAAACAGTTTTTTTACACTCATTCAATCTTTTTTCAGATGAAATAAATATACAATAAATAAACGCATTTGTTTCTGTTTTAGATTTTGATATTGTATATTTTTATTACTCCATTGAACGCATTGAAGCTTTACAAATTATAAAATAAAGAGCGTTTTTTTTTTCTCTCTTTTTCGACATGGATGAAATGCATGACCTAAGATTATAAATCGAAGGTTGCGATTGCAACAAAGAAAGGTGTTATATTTTACTCCTACAATGCAAAGATAGTAATGATAGAAAAAACTGAAATGTCCTATAATGTTAATGATGCTTGAACTTTATATTTTCATTTCAGATTTTTCAGAAGTTGAAACGTGTGTTAGGAAACTTTCAAGGTCTGCTTCATATGGAAAAGAGTTCGGATATGTGATTTACAGTTTTTCTATATGTGACAAGAGATCAACAAAATGTTTATTTTAATAATAGTTATAATGAAAAAAAGTCGTTGCATTATTCTTTTAGATCAAAATACGTACACTGGATGTTAAAAAAATTAAGAACACTAAGCCCATTAGTATTTAGTATCTCTTTAAAATTGAAAAACAGCTATTAAAAAAATGTGAATAATTACGCTAGGAAACACATTTTTGGTGATTTCATACAAACCTGGAAACCTGGGAATTTGAAATACTAGATTATACCAAATACGAATGTGGGAATTTGAAATTGAAATTAGTTTCGCACCTAAGCACTTTTCGTTGAATGAAATTTTTACTCAATTTTTTGTAGAAATTGACAAGTTTAAAAACGTTATATATATAACAAGTGGTAAGATGTAAATGTTGCGACAAATTTCTAGGAGAATTAGGGCTCAGCATCAGGATTAAAACTATCTATGAACCCATGACTGGAAATGTCGTCGTAAGCGGCTAGGGGGGCTTTCCTATTATGACCTTTTTAGAAGCATGCAAAGAAACAGTTTATAATAGGGGAAGTGAGCGTAGTGGCGTATGATGACATCTCCCGGTATAGGCTATTCTGATGGGCATAAATGTTGCATCAAACTCTCCTGGAAGTTTGTTGCAACATTTATGCCACCCCTGTTGTATATAACGTTTTTAAACTTGTACATTTCGACAAAAAATAGACTAAAAATATCATTTAAAAAAATGTAAATTGGAGAGAGAAACAGATTGCAGATTTGAAACGAAAATATCTAAGATCGGCAAAAAAATCTTATGCAACAGAAAAAAAAATGTTCCCAGCGTTATTCTCAGCAAGCATCTGTCTGGTGTCCAAAAAAATAATTAAATAAATTGGTAAAAGGAAGAAAACGAATAAGGAAAAACAGAAGAAATTTATTTATACCAAGTTTCAAAGTAAATTTCAAAATTTTTCAACAGATTCGACTGCTGAATACCAAAAGTTACGAAATAATGTTCTCAAAATATCTAATATATGCAGAAAAAATGCTTCACAGTCCAAGCTAAAAAGTTACGTAATTCCGTTTAAATTTTTTTAGTTAGAATCATTTGAAATGCAGTGGAACTGCATTTCAAATGATTCTGACTTCATAGTTTTACTAGGAAAATTACGCCCTCTGTTGACAAGTTTTAAAAATATTTTTGAAATAGTTTGAGAATTAACTCTAGTTTCTTAAGAAGAATGCAGTGTACTGTATATGCCAACCCTCCTTTCGTTTTCTGAGATCAAAAGATAATTCCATGTAAAAAAAAATAATTTTGAATAACTTTGTTTTTTATATTTATTCTACTACAGCCAAAAACAATTTTTAACTGCTTCGTGTACAAATTTTTACATAATAATAAGAAGTGCAATATTAAATGAAAAAAAAAATACGAAACTTTTTTACATGTTGTATTTTGTCACCTAAAGTAAAGCAAAAGTTTTATACCTTATAATTCAAAATTTTGCCGATTATAATTAAGTAATACAATATAAAAATTAAGTAATTATTATTTATTTAACTTTTACTGTGAATCTTTGAATAAACGAGTTTCATCATTGCGTGGAAAAACGTTTCAAGATATATCGAAACAGGGTTCCAAATTTTCGATCGCCCTTTTACCTATACTATTGGGACTGAATTTTACAATTTTTCTATATTTTGAGGGTCAAAAATTCAAATCTATGAACAAATAAATAAAAAAAAAGTCATGTCCACTTGGAGTAAGTATGATTTTGTAATTTAAATTATCGTCTGTTCCAATTAATTGGCGTATTTTTGGGTTGTTCCCTTCTTTATTTTATGCATTTTTTATTTCCCTTTTTATTTTATGCACTCACATTCATTTAACGTATTTTCATAGATATGACACTTTTTGCCGATGGGGATTAATTAATTAAATTAGGCACGTTTGAGTTAACGTTAGTGACAGTTTATTAACTAAAATATAATAATTTAAACTGTTAGCGTGCTCTGGTTTTAAAAAATGGTGCTTCATGTAAAATTAATGAAAAAAGACTAAATTTCCTTTTCTTAAGGATGCTGCGGTTGTTGTGGTTGTTACTAATGCCACTTGCCAATATCAGCAAGCATACGTTAAATGAGGCAAATTTTTTAAGGCAGAGGGTGACGCCATTTATGTCCAGGAATATGACTTCTACCACACACATGCCACAACCCGTTTTACAGACAGGACCTAATCACACTCCTGTCATTCTTTCACAGATCGCAATTTTGACTTGAACCAGAGAACGATCAATCTCCAATTCATTGCCCCCAGAAATATTGATTTGTTATGAGAACTTGGAAGATTTTATGACCCCGACAGATTTAATGTGCACCTGTCGTCATTTAATACACGGGGATTCGTCGACAGTCCGGTTTCAAACTCCCACTCTCACGAACTTGAGTCCAACGTCCTACCAGGCTATATCATCCCGCTGTGGTTGTTTTCACGATTTAACGATTAGAGCTAGGAGTACTAGTTAAATCGTTTCTTTGCCACGAGGAAAAGTGTTGAGTTTTTTAATGTTCTTATAGAAATTTTAATAAAGATGTGGCTTATTAATGAAAGATGTGGTAGAAAATTTAAAATTAAGTTTTGAGAATGTTTCATAGATTTACAAACAATTAATTGAGTTAAAGAAAAATGCACAGTAAGTTGATTACAGACCAAATTATTAAATCTAGTATTATTAAAATATGTTGGTATATACAGTGCGCAAAAAAAGACCACACTGAATAACTCTTCATCTAATGATCGGATCTTCACGTTCTAGGACTCGATTTTAATAGCTGAAAGCAAGCCTGATTGGTAAAACTAAGCTTCTTTAAAGCAGAGGGTACGTTTCTTGCTTTTCAGTGGCAAAATCTACGGTAAAGAACATGACTTATAAGGCTGACTTATTCATACATGCATTTATTCATCCACAGATCGTAATTTTGACCTGAACCAGAGAATGGTCAATCTCCAATCAGTACCCCCTCCCTCCCCAGAGAGGGATTATTTGCTTTGAGAACATAGAGGACTTTGCGAACCGACAGATTTAACATGTATCAGTCACCATTTACAACAAGGATCGAACTCACGACCTCTTGGACATGGGTCCAACATCCTACCAACCAGGCCAAAAGTATATGGGTGATTCTCACGAAATATGACAATTCACAGTCTCTTGCTCCAAGATCTAATACTATATTACTAAAAGAACTTTTAAAAAATTTTAATAAATAGCATTTTAAAATGACTTTGCACAAGCATTGACTGTTTTGTATAGTTTAAAAATTTAATTGAATACCAAAATTTAATTTTCCTGGTATGTCACAAACAATATTTCCAATAATAACTTGCTTCAAAACTTCCCATACAGTTTTCAATATCTAATTTCTTTTTTATCTCAACCGTTATAAGCATTTCTTGAATATATGCAGAGGGTATTATTTCCAAAAACTTTGTTGAAAATAATTTTTTCTGTCAATAATTTGCTTGTCACTTGAAAATCAGTCATTTTCCTGGCCACTTTTTTTTAGTAATTTATAACCAAAATAGATAGCTCCAGCAATCAATACCTTAGGTTAAGAAATTGATTAGAATACCATCCTATTAGAACATGTCTAATTGCAGGAATAAAGAACTTTCTGAATCAAAATGTATTTTCAAAAATTTTACAAAGTGAATAGGTTTCTACGTTGTCTTTTTCCTGTCCTCTTGAAAGCATTAATTACATAAACTATTTACATTTACCTTAGTTATTTCAGGAAATCCTGATGTTTTCTGCGGAAAGTAAACGTCTTAGGTCAAAATGTTAAATTAAAGTAATGTTAAATGCTGTAAAATGGCAAAATTGTCATTTTCCTGACTTATAAATTCCCGGACATTAACACAGTTATAAGAAAATTTTTTAAAAAATGTAGTGTAAAGAGGGAAAGTAAATATTAACCTAATACTCAGTTTATGAAAGATTGTAATAAGCTCGTATGTAATTAAGGTTATTTATTTATTTAATGATTGATTATTATACACATTTTATTCTGGCCACTGATATCAACAACAAAAACATTTTTGATCATTTCTACAGCGGATAAAAGAATTAGTTTAAACAAATCATGGTTCATCTAACGCAAAGGTGTTGGATTTTTTTTCGAAACACAGTTAGTTAAAAATATAAAGGATAAACTAAGAACATCACTGTACAATTTAATTCTGTCATAGTCTTTAAACGCTACTTGGGTATATAAATTAAGGAATGCAATAAAGTTGTAAAATGAAATGATTTTAAATACCTTAAATTTAAACAGTATTATAAAAAAATTTCCGATGTAAATTATTATAACATTAATTTTAATGTAAATTTTTATAAAGTAAATTCAAAAATTCCTAAGATTATCATTTTCACTGTAGGAGAAGTTCTTGAAGTTGTTCATACAGATATTAAAGTCAACTGTATTATTCGTGCTGGCAAACAGACTACTAATCATTTTAAGTGGCCCGGGAAAAAAGACTGTGTCAAAGTTGCTTAGAATATCACAAATTCAAAAATGTCTGGTTTAAAAATGTCTGTCTGTTGAGATAGTTTTTAATTTACCTAATATCTTCCAGGCATTTTATTTCCTCTAAAAGCTTCAAGATTAATGAAAATTTGCAAAATTGTACTGTTTTCTTTGTTTTAACTGTTTCTTTGCAAATTAAAGTGTAGTAAAATTAAAAATTATCTGATTGCGTGTGTTACTCTCTCACTCTCATTATACTTAACTAATTTGTTAAAATTGTTCACAATAATTATATTTGGAATTTATTGACATAAAAAGTTAAAATTAACTTCTCAACTTTGTCTTTTTTGAGTAAGTTGAGTTACTTACTACTAGCTTAAAATGACTGTTTTCTTAACTTTTAAGATAATATGTCATTTTCCTGGCCTTCTAGTTATTTTCCTGGCATTCAAAACTTGGTGTATCTCTATTTTATTTTTTTTTCTTGATCAAATGTCAATAAACTACACTAATGTCTGTAAGATATTAATAAATGTAACTAAATAAATATACAAAAAAAATTAGACTATTTTGAAGACTTTCAATTTGAAGAAATTTTTTTTTCCGAATTTTCATACTTCCAAAGAATCACCCATATACCCCTTATAATATTTTTGAGGCACCACTAAACGCTGTATTCTAACCCCCAAGCAGTGAACTTTCTTGATTTTTGCCTTCAATTTAATATTTTTATATCCATAGGTAAGGTGACCAAAGTCCTTAAGAAACTAAAAAGTAAATTTAGATACGAATAATGAAAACTTACTGCTTCATCATTCCAAATTAAAATTATTAGAACAGGAATTCTCTGGAAGAAATAATTTTTTTAAAAGGTTAATCAGTGAGATTTTAAATGTTCATTTAAAAATTTTGCTGCTTTTTTTGTTTATAGAAAAACCTGGTTATCTTTTCCCTAGTGTATCATAAACAACTTTTTATCCCCAGGTAGCAATAATCTTATACAAATAATTTGAAAATCTACTTCAGTAGATAGCAGATTCCTTTTGTTTCCATTCACATATCATTCAAAATCCCCCATTATGATGTTGCTCAACAATTTACTCCTATATACTTAGTTTTCTCTAGTCTGGCTTATTTACTTAAGTATGTAGATATTCAAGAATATCCCTAGGGAAAATCATCTTCCGAAAATCAGATGTGTTGTTTTTTTTCACTCTCTATAAGAAGATTCTTTTTTATTTCAAAGATTTTTATTGTTTATCTTTCTTTCGATGGGAAAAACTCATGTTTTGAAATGGAAAAATAGAAGGAAAGAAAATACATACCCGCCCCCTTAAAAAAGTCTGTATGGGGTAAAGATGGAAGGGTGGGTAAAATTCAGTTGTTTGTGGCAGTTTTATTTAAATTTTGAAATTGTTATGTGCAATTTTTTGTTGTTGTTCTTTCTTTCTTTCTTTTTTTTAAATGTTAGATTTCGTTGGGTATGAAAGAAACAGCTGTTTAGAAAAGATATCCCGATTTTTTTAAATTTTTTTTTTCTTTTTTAATTCAAGCGTTGAGTTTTGTTATTTCTAAAAGAGCTTCAAATTAATTAGCAATCTTGTAAATTAAAAAAAAAAAACATTGAAATTTATGGTTAAAGTACATTTGCTTGTGGCTCAAGCTGTTAACACCACGTAAATTTGAGAGAAAAAATTATGGTCATGCTCGATTTTTACATGCTTTGCGCAGAAAAAATAATTAAAAATTTTAATCCATTTGTGCCTAGCGTCCTTTTCAAAAGAACAGTTTCTTTTTACGAAAAGAAGAAAAAAATAGTATTAGAAGTGTTTCATTGTTAGCATTTATTTTTTCAGAAACGAGATAGCACTGTAGGTTATAATATATCCCAGATAGCAGCAACATAACAAGCATTATATTTTCATTTTCATTTGGTTGGCATGAAAAGGTAGACTATTTGATCCTTTGTTAAACTTAGTAAAAACATTTGTTTCCTTAAAGACTGAATAAAGTCACGCAAAAAACTTTATAAAGGAATCTCCTTTTTTTAGTTTTTACTATAAACCTTGTTTTTGCCCTCTTTTTTATTATAGCTTTATCAAGACTCTCAAAATCATCATTTTTTTTGTGTTGAGATCGTAATATCAGGACAACCTACACTTTTAAAGTGTTAAGGAAAATATATAAAAGCTTGCCCAAATAAACCTTGTTTCAGTGCTGATCCAAAATTCTAAAATAAACCTTGATAAGTTGAATTTATTCTCTGTTTGAGAACGCTTTCTACTCTCGCTTTTCGTCTGATGATTCATCATCGAATTTAGAAGGTTTTTCTTGCCTTATTTTGTGAAGGCAGATTTAATCTCAATATAAAAGGGTTGTTTACGCAAGCTCAATGTGAACCTCATAGGGCGTTAAATATCACAGTTAAATTTAACATTGTTTAAAGCTTGCATGGATTATTTTCTAGCCATTGACAAAAATTGTTAGGCTTCATGATAAAAGTTGTTGCTGACATTGAAATCAACTTACACTGCTGTCTGGTATTAATAATATAAAGATATATATTTGAATTTGAAACCATTGCAAAAGGTCTCTGCAAAGTTATATTTGTAGGTAACATGGGAATATCCATTTGGTTCAAATATATATATTTATGTTAAAAAAATTTTTTTTTATTAAGGCTATTTTTGCATCACTTCTGTATTTATGGTTAAGCAGTGATGGGTTAAAATATTGATTGATGGCTGTTTTGTTTTGCATTACTTATCTCCCACAAATCATGTCACATCCAATCCATGACATATTGGTCAGTCACATCCTGAATCAATTTCACTAATTCGATTTAACTATTTTAATACAGATATTCCTTTTCTTTTTTTCTTCACTGCAGTTGATTCGCTTTAATGGCACTTTCCATATATTTTTTTCAGTTTATAAAATTTTTTATTTCCAATAACAAAAAAATCAGGAATAGTTATTAAGTATTTAAAAATATTACGTGTGCGAAAAAGGAGTTTTAAAAGAAAAAAAAAGGAAAAATTACTGAACAAAAATAAATTACAAAAATAATATCTCATTTAATAGTGTATCTTCAATAGATACTTTAAATGCATAAAATATCTCTGAAATATATTGAATCTTTTTTAATTAACTCATAAAATTTGAGAAAAGGAATTTCCCTATTTTATCAAGTGCGGATGGGGGGGAGACACCTTCCTTCCCCCCCCCCTCCAAAAAAAAAATTAAGTGCGAAAAAACATTTAAAGAGTGGGGGGAAAATCCGCCAATTTTTATTCTGGGGAAAAAAAATAAAAAATTTTCAATAAAGAATAAATAAGCAAGTAAATATTGCGATTCTTTTCAAAAAATTTTTACTTTGAAAATAGAAAATACTTGAAAAAGAGGCTAAATGTAATCAGGCTAAAATTAATAAAATAAAAATAAGAATTTATTACCGATTGCATTGAATGGTTTGAATATAATTGGTAACATTTTTTGACCAGGAAATGGCAAAAGAAGGAATGTTAAAGCATGGATGCCACGAGTGATTAAAAATATAAGAAGTGGTAGAAACTCAACTTATCTTTATTTATTAAATTATTCGATCCGTTCTATCATAATGACTTACATTGAAAATTATGCATATTTAAAGCGAAAACATTCTTTAAATTTTCTTTCAATAGTAAACTGAAAGAAATATGCCAGAAAAAGTGGCTAATTTTAATCTCGTTTAATGGATTTTTTACCACTACTTTTTACATTTTTAAAGGAACCGAAACGTTCGGTCTCATCTGAGAGGTTTTTCCCTGTTACGGGTTAATATATTAACACATTTGTTCTCTTATTTTCAACCCTTTGGTGTGTTTTTTTGTTATAGTTTTTTTTTAATAAATACTAAAATAAATCATATTTTATGTTACAAAAAGTTTTATTATTATATCAAACCACATTTCAGTCATTTTTAAACTGTACACCAACCACATACAAAACATTACCTGAGCCCACAGTTTTTCACATTTTTCACAAAACCAAATGCTACCGATGAAATTTATGTAAATATAATATCTTTGGCTCACCAAAATAGCTCCATCATTGCTAATTTTTATAGTTATGTCTAAATTAAATTATAAAATATACAAATATTATGCAATTAAAAATTAAGTTAATACATATAAGTTCTTTTTTAAATATAGATATATTTATATAGTTTATTAATGCATATAATATAATTTATATAGATACTTTGATCTTGTTTTTGATTAAATATTTTTTTTAAAATTTAATTATTCATAGAACCTTTTCAGTGGCCCTGAGATGATTCATCTTTGGTAAAGATATAGTGTCACAAATTATATATATATGTATATATTTTAATAATTGGCATAGTTGTAATACATAGCAACTATGGATTATCATTACTCAAAAAGAATCGTTTAATTTTTTTATTCTTTTTAAAACACACTAAAATTTAGCATAAAATGCAAGTAGAAGTCTACCACGTAGATGTCTAAACATTATGAAATATTACTAGATGGTTTCCATTTAAAATATGAGCTCAAATTCAAGGGATATAATATCTTGAACAGCTATTTTGATTCGCATTATCTATGAATGTTCCTTCATAAATGAGCAAGTTTAGGGGACGTAGATGGAAAAGCATATTTTTGACCTCTACTAGCTTCTTGAGATTGCACGAGCCATTCATGTGTCATTGGACTGCTTGCTATCATTTGTTGTGGATGCGGATAGTAATAGGATCCAGAATGCAACTGAGCTTGATACGCGGAATTATTAACGATAGCTCGAACATTGTTCGTTGCTGAATAATCCACCGCTGTACAAAGTAGCCCCATAGAACTCTGAATATTATTCTGAAGTTGCATGCCTACACCACTTTGATCCCAAGCAGAGTGTGGTTGCACCACAAATCTCGAAGCCATGCCTGAATTGTAATAAAAAGCGTTGTTTTTCGTGCCAGAATCCATGTCTGACATGAATGGTACATTCATCGGTGAATCTGCAGTGACAGGTTGGAAATTAAGTTGAAATGGTGATGAAGGAGATGGTGGCGTAGAGACACTTTGAGATGGTGTTGAGGATGCCGAGGGGGATGACATGACACTCTTCTTCTCATTTTGAACGAAACATAATTCTTGTTGCAAATGGCGATGCTGTAGATTTGCATCAGAAAAGAGATTCTGGTATGGTTGCACTGGTCGATTATTACTTGACGTATTAAATGGTTTATTGCTTAGAAAATTTGAAGCTTGGGAAACTGATGCCTTAATGGGTGAACTTAAAAGTGGATCGGAATGAGTTCGAAGTGAACAAGATTCCAAAACCCCTGTGTTGCTTGGTGAACAATCTAATCCATATGCTGTAAATGACTGATTAGTACTATCCAAAGCAGCTGCTTGAGTTCCGGAATTAGACAAGTTACAATTAGAATTCGAAGCTGTATTCGGAGATGTAGGTGAATGTGTTATTGGAGATGAGCCAGGTAAACTCCCACCGGAACATGGAGTTTCCTTGTCCACAGCCTGGCAAAAAATACCTTTTGATTTTTGTTCTTTTTTGTACTTCATGCGACGGTTTTGGAACCATATTTTGATCTGACGCTCTGTTAGGTTAAGTAAAGATGCCATTTCAATTCTCCTTGGTCTGCATAGGTAGCGATTAAAGTGAAATTCTTTCTCTAGTTCCACCAATTGGGCACTGGTGTAAGCTGTTCTTGCACGCTTCGCTGGCTGGTCTCCTGTAAGCAGAGAAAATACAGTTTAAGTAACGAAAGTTATAATTTTAATCAAGTTACATTTGCTAATATGTACTTACGAAATGTTTTTAAATAAATTCAAACAGTCAGAAGTAATAGAAAATTGGAAATGACAGATTTCCGCTGAGTCTTACAAGTTTTGAAAAGTTGTAAAGAAAATGAAACAAAGGGCTATATTTTAATACATTAGTGACCACCGTTATTTCTAAATGATCATCCATACTCTCAAATCTCTAACGGTTAAATAAGTATCTTTAACACGTTGAATGCCACACTAATTTCACATGGCTTTCCCTTTCGGCAAAACGGTAAATAACTACAAACTAAATTTGCAAATATCAGATGGATTTTGCCAGTTTTTTAAAAAGTTTAGCATGAAAAAAGTGGTGAATTATTTGAGCCAACGAATTGTTTAGAAATTGTGGTGGATAATAATCTACTAAATTGAATTTATTAAACCAGGTATCACAATTAATAAACTGCATTTGAAAATATTTATTCGCTGTCCGGAGCAAGTTAGCATCTCTGTGCATTTTTGTGTGTTCTATTTTGCATTAATTCCTTCAAACCATTTTAGTAACGATAATAATATAAAAAAATAAAAAATTTTCTCGAATAATGTGTTATAAATATTTTTAGTCCCTTTAAAAAGGAGACTAGGCTCAAATGGTTTTCACACTGCTAAAATAGGTAGTACAAGTGTTGCATTCTTAGACTTAATTTTGTAGATTAAAGATTGTTGTGGCTGCCAGATTATTTAAATAATATAGGCATTCATATTTGAGTCCAAAACCGTGGTACAGTTCCTCTTCGAAGCTATGGTGTTAAGTAGATGGTAAAGTGGGAACAAAAAAAACTATTCACTTAGTATATGCATGTTTCACTACTTTTTTCGTATCAGTGCAGTATTTGTAACCAAGCATTAGCGCTACTAATAAAACTAATGCAGTTGGAGTAATTCAAACAACAATACGCTCATATTTGATACAAAAATTCCAGATAGATATACTTTCTTATACTATTTCTGATAACTCCAGCTTTCAGACATTGATTATGGGGTACGATGCCATGGCTGCCAACTTGTGTGATCGTTGGAAAAGATTTTACAAAGTAGTGTAATAATACTTAGGCAGGGCTGTCAACCATTAAGCTTTTTACAAAATATTTTATAGAGTGGAAGATAATTACAAACTAAAGAATTCAGAAATTTTGGTAATTTTGCCAACAATATTAATGCCTCAAGACGAAGGAGCTTGAATAAAATGGTGTTTTACATGAATTTTTGAATCATATACATGCAGTGATCTGGAAAATAACTTTAAATGAATTTTACAAAACAACTAAATACAAACATTCTCGACATTTTCCCAAAGTTGGCAGTCCTGCTTAGGGTATCGAAAATTTTTAATAATCCAGGTCCTTCACAACAACTTAATAGCATAATATTTAATTATTATAACTTATATAAATATGTTCGAATTATTGGTTTTCCATGGTAATTTGGTAAATCACAGTAAAAAAATTTATTATTTGACTTTTAAATTTAGATTTGTACGTTAAAACATAAACGTTGCAATCACATAGTAAACATTTCGTAACAACCGTACAAGTTGGTACCTACACTAAAAGGATACTCAATGGTAAAAACAGATTCTAAAATTTCACGAAAGTTTCTTCGTTTTTGACGAAGCCGTTTGCAGGCATATACTCCCAGTGAACTTTTGCTCAAAGTGACGAAATAACTATCGTCATTTCTTCAAGGAAACGAATTTCGTCAAAGGTAAAGAAATATTTTGTATCGGAGAGTGATCATCTATAATTTTTTCGTCACTGTCAAGTTGGATCACCGTCGCCCTAACAACAATCGAAGGACAAATAGGAAAGATAAAACTGGGATTTGAACCCGGGATCTTCCTGGTATGAGATCAACTCCTCGACCACTATACCGATCGACCTATTTTGTCATTCTAGTTTCAATCGTCTAATCTTCATTCTAGTTAGCATTATCTCACAATGCACTGCTATAAGTTTTCGAGTTGAGGAAACATTTTCATCATAGATTTGAGAACTCGCATTTTGTCACAAATCGCGTGATTTTCTGACGAAATGATTTTCAAAATTAGCGTAGTACAGCTCAGGAACTGCTGAATCGTCAAAAGAGAGAGTTTTGTTTCTGAGAGTGTACGCGGTACCAATCGCCAAGCTTACTGCTGGTGTTTTTATGGATTTCCATTCCATATACAAAAGTAAGATAGGGGCTTAAAATTACAAATGTAGGTGAGTAAAAAGTACTGTTCAGTTACGTAGATAGGCTGATCACAGACTGTACTAGAATAAAATAAAATGTAATATCAAGATATTTTTAAAGAATGAAAACAATCTACTTCAAACATACAATTCTCTATCCTTTTAAGCATTGAAATATAATCCATCGAAAAAATTTGAATAATATTCATTCCTCGGTGAACTGATTTTATTCTATTTGAACAGAACAGAGGGTGTTTCAGAAACATTTTTTTTTTCTGTTGAAACAGGACTGATGTAGAGAACTAAATCTGATGCGTCACATTTGAAAGGGAAGATTGTCTTTTTGAATGTTTAAAAAATGTTGCCGAAAGAAGAAGATGGGGTGTACGCGTGGGAGGAAATGGTCTCGGACAGGGACAGTTACGAACCACTGAGTCGTAAACAAAGTGCGCTTTTGCTGTCGTATCCAAATATCAACCCACCTTATTTGCATTTGAAACACAGAATACTGAAATTGAAGAATGGATGTCCTATTCATCACTGTGGAGCACACCAAATTTGAATAAACCTGGAAAAGGGCCAGATAATATTATAACTAAGATCGAAAATTCTCCGGTGGGGGGGGGCTGCCCACGCCACACAGACGCAAACAAGGGGTTGGTTTAAGAGAAAAATAATAAATAGAAGGGAAAAAAATAGATAAGAGAGAAAAGTAAATCCAGCGTGTCTTATCAAATATAAATCATCCCAGCAAGTTTTTGTTCCAAATGGAGAAAAAGGAATCAGCAAAAACGGAGAATCTACATCATTTGACGCAAAGCTTTTCCCTATCCCCCACAAAATTCCCTCCCCCCCTATCTCCTCATCCTTTGCAATGCAATACGACTTCTTGTGTGCATATATCAGTCTAATACCTGCATCTTCTCCATTGAGGGATAATTCGGTGTCCTCGTCTATCCCTTTAGGGAATGTTTTATGCATAGTCCCTCCCCAACTATTCCCACCACCACGTCCAAATGGACCACAGTCATATTTGGATTACTGTGTTTAATATGTTTAAAATGTAAATTTGGAAAGATATATATATTTTTTTATTCGCCTCGTGCAAATCAAATAAAGAGAAGCATACCAAAATGTAAGAAAAGTTGCCAGGAGAAAGGGATGAGTAGGGAAAAAGGACGAGCATAGCTTTCGAAAAAAAAAAAAAAAAAAANAAAAAAAAAAAAAAAAAAAACATATCAATCTAACATGACATTTAGTTCGGTTTATTCATGTCAATGAATTTATTAACTGATGGCTTTGAGCTTTAAATAAAAAATGGTTGAAAAGAGATATTGGATGGGGAAAAATATTTATAAATATTCGCTTCATTCATAATTTAGAACATGTATCAGAAACGCATTTCCTTAACTTTTAATACTTGATTTAATAACTTTCTCATGCAAATAATTGCGTTTTTCAACGCCTTCAGCGACGAGTTGTTTCGAAGGGAATTTTAATATCTTGGGTAGGGGCATCTCTTTTCTATTTGCACTTAATGAAGGTATATCGCTTCGAAAACAAAATTATGATGCATAAAAAAGCAATGAAGTGTTTTTTGAAGCTAGATTTTATCATTTTTTATTTTAATTTTTTGGCGAAGTGTTAATCAAAAAAGATTCAATATATTTTGGACTTAAAGATACTTTTTACGTCTAAAGTATCTATTGAAGAAACACTATTATAAATGAGATATTATTTTTGTTACATTATTTATTTATTTTTGTTCAGTAATCTTCTCGATTTTTATCTTTTTTTTTTCTTTCAAAAAAGTTCAAGTTGAAGTTAGAGAGCGAGGAACGATGATTAAAAGTAAGCTCTATTTGCAAAAATGTTCAAGTTTTTTTTCCATGCAGCAAAAAAAAAGTTATGTTTAAGTTTTTTTGTAATTTGGTGCGAAGATAATAAGAAATACTTAAAAAAATATTTTATCAGTAAATATTTTAAAATTATAAGGGATTAGATATTTTCTCAGTTAGGGAGTTTTATAGCGTAGTTTTATTAAAATTATATTTCATTGCACTTAATGAAAGTATGTTGCTTTTGAAACTTAATTACAGTTCATAAAAATTCAACAAAGGGCTTTTTAAAGCTAAATTTTATAAATTTTTATTAAATTTTTTAGCGAAGTTTCACGAGTCGATCAAAAAAGATGCAATATATTTCGAACTTAATGTTATTATCATTTTATGTCTAAAGTATTTAATAAATGAGATATTATTTTTGTTACATTTTATATTTTTGTATGGCAATCTTTTAATTTTTTTTCTTTATTCATTTATTTATTTACTTTTTCAAAAAAATTCAAAAAGGAAGTTAGAGGGCGAGGAATAATGATTGAAAGTTAACTCTACATACAAAATGCTCAAGTTTTTTTTACATACGTGAAAAAATGTTTTATCAGTAAATATTTTAAAACTATAAGAGATTAGATACTTTCTGGGTGATTGATTTTTAGAAGGTCATATAGTTTTATTAAAACTATTTTTTATTGCACTTAATGAAAGTATATTTCGTTTAACACATAATTGTGGTGAATAAAAATACAACAAAGAGTTTTTTAAAGCTAGATTAAAAAAGAAGAAAATCTGGCACAGTTTTATTTAAAGGTCTTATAAATAGGTTATATTTTCAGTGACTGAAAGTATTTTTTTAAGATACACAATTGTAAATGAAATTAAAAATTTTCTTTACTT